AGGGATATGATTTTAATTCCTGTTCTTCCAAAGACTGAGGCCTATGCACACAACTTAATTGTATATGGAAATAATCAGATGGCCTGCTTCTACTATGTCTCCAGGGTTTTGTATCTAATGATAATTACTAGTAAACACTTGGCACCTGTAATTTGTTCTACAGAAAAAATGAAATTGATAATTTTTAAGATCCATGGATTATAAGAACACAGTTTCTAACTAGACATGCCTTTTAGATCAGAGAACAGGAAAGACAAGTCATACAGTATACCCATTTTTTTAGTTGGTTGCTTTGGGGAAGCTAAAACTTGTGCATTTTTATACATGTCATGTGGGTGCTACATAAAGAAACAGCCTCAGTAGGTTACACAAGAATCACCCAAGTCTTTGGCTGAAATCTAAAGCTGTGTTTACATCGAGTGAGTATCTAGGAGCTTGGTCAAGGAATGGTGATGGGTTCTTTGTCTTCTGGGAATGGACCAGCCTTAGCAGCCCTGGTCTGTCATCCATTGGCTGGGAGCAGCCTGTGACAAGGATATTCTCAGTGTAGATAGATTTCAGATCCCAACACAACAGCTAGAGCACCTGTTGGCAGCTGAAATCTATTTTTCCACACAGGTATAGAGTATAGCTGCTGCTTGTTCTGTGTGCTGTGACAACTCAGACACCTCCACCTCACTGAGGTCCTAGTGTTTCCCAGCCATCTAGAAGTCAATATATCTCTTGGGTCATTGATAAAATATGCTCTGTATCCTGTTAAATAGCACTTTTGATGTCATTGCATTGTTCACCAGTTTTCTGTTCCAACTCCCATGTTCAAACATGCTCAGAAGTCATTCCAAGGAATGCTCCTGTGGCACACACTGTCTAATACAATTCTGTGGCTATACAGTATTTTATCTTCTGAGTTCAGCATGTCTCTAGTTCATTGTACTCGTAAATATACCCCCATATATCAGCCTGGTATCCAGGAAAGTACTGAAGGCATATTCCAAGAGGGGTAGAGGAAGTATATGTTATACTGTGGGCAGAGGTCTGTGCACCATCTTGTAGCACAGAAATGCTGGCTCAGATTCAAGAGCTGTACAGTATGGACATCCTCAGGAGCAATGATATACCAAGCAGATGGGCCCTTCCCTTATTTCAGGGTCCCAGGTATCCTTGACTTTCACAAATCAGAACTGCCTTGGTAGTGCTTTTAAACTCTGTGATAACTCTATTAGCTGTTCCACTACCCCTGCCATTTGAATGAAGAATGACCTTTGTAAGCTACCAGAGAGGCTCACATAGAACCATTAACTGTGTATAGCACTCCATCATTTATTCACCTTCCTGAGGGTAAATATAACCCAGCAGTAATCAGTTAGACCACTGTCTTGGTAGTAACACCCCCACAGTGGTATTAATAAACCTGAGAAACATATTCTAATAGATGCCAAGATAGAAGTAGGAGTGGTGCTGTCAGGAAAAACAGGAAGGAACTCCACAGGAATTGCTCCTAGAATTGAAGTATGCATGAAAAGGGCAAAAACTGATTGAATAACCTTTTAGAAATAACAGCAGTCAAGGCAGTGCTTAATGAAGACAGAGAGTACTAAAATTTGTTAAGAAGGCATTATGATATTTATTGTTTCCTGCTTTGCTGTTCCTCGTTCCTCAGTATGATAGGGTCTGTGGGGGACAGTCAGAGGTCTGCAATCCCTATACGGCTAGCTGGTGCTAGAAGGCCATGACAGACCTTGCTTACACAACCATGGTTGTATATTTTAACCATTGTAGTGGTTTCTGTAGGTTCGGATACAGACACTTGGATTGTTTCACAAGGCCCAAGCTAGAACATCATTCCCAAGAGTATCTAATAAAGCATGTGAAGGCAATGCTAGAGAGTTAGATAGCTCAGTCAGGAAAGTGCTTGCTGTGTCTACACATGGCTTGCACACATACCCACTTGAATGTATACGTTCTACATACACACACACATCCGAAATGTAACAGATACATACACACCCACTCCTGTCTCAGCTAAAGGCTTTCTAATAGGGAAAGCAGGAAAGACACCAGGAGCATTTAGGAAGCAAAAAACTAAGAGGGAAGATACTTAATGGAATATTATAATGCCCTTTTAAAATATAATAGAAATGGTCATGAAGACAAATTTATTATTAGAGACTTGAGAAGGGCCTTCTTTAATGGTAAGGGAGCAATTGGTTAGGAACAAATAAGTGTGAGTGTGTGTGTGTGTGTGTGTGTGTGTGTGTGTGTGTGTGTGTAAGAACAGAATTACAAATAGAAAACATAGAAACATAGAACATACAACATAGAAAAACTCATGGATTCAACATTCAATGTTGAATTAATGTTGAATTAGTACATTGAAATAAAGATACCCAGTTAGCAAATAAACATACAAAGTGCTCAGCACCGCTAATCACTGGGGAAATGCAAATGAAATCATAACACAAGACTATCACATACCTACTATTATGGCTAAAATGATGGAGATTTAATTTTATTTGAGAATTTCATGAGTTCTGTATTTAGATAATTTCCCCCTCCCTTCCATCACTCCAACACACACACACACACACACACACACACACACACACACTAGAACCAGGTATAAGGAAGTGGTTCAGTGGGTAAGTGTGCTTACTGCACAAGCCTGAAGACCTGAGTTCATATCTCAGCATTAACAACAAAACACAAAAGCCAAGCTTCCCCCACATGTACTCATTGCTGTGGGTTGGGGACAGAGGGAGAGAGATATAGCAGAGGTTAGATGATCACTAGATCTTGTTGGCCATCTGCCTAGCCAATGAAATAAGGTGGAGAGAGATAAAGGAGGGTGCTTAATATGCTCCTCTAGCTCTGAGGGCACTGGTACCTGGATTTACATATATACCATACTCACACACATACATACACACAAAAAAATAATAATAATAATCAATAATCCCATGCTAGGCTTCACATATGATAGATAACATGCAGTTCTTGTCTTTATGGGTTTGAGATGCCTCACTTAATATGTTTTCCAGTTCCATGCATTTTCCTTCAAATTTCATTTTTATTCATAGATGAATAAAATTTCACTCATTGTCCACAGCTGATGGTACTCTAAGCTGATTGTATTTCCTTGCTGTTACTGAAAAGAGCTGCAATAAACATGGATGTACAAGTATCTCAGTTAGAAAAAAAGGACTCCTTTGGGTTTATTATTTTTTTAGTGTATATCAGTTGTTCAAGGAATGGGTTTCATAATGACATTTTGTTTTGTTACTTTCTCTAATTTCAATGTGTCCTAAGTATGTTTGCCAAAGTGATATTGCAGTGTTAACATGTTAACTTTGAGGTGCCTAGAAATAAACAATTTGGCTACCAGCACAGAAATGGATATTAGAGTTGTAAATTTATGAGTCATTGATATGATTTATTGAAACTGGAGTAAGTAGAGAAATTAAAGACTATAGAATACCAGCTTCTAAAGGAGACAGAAAAAAATCTGGCTACAAAAATGAGAAACAAGAAGCGAAAGAAAGGGAAGAACCAAGGCAGATGATTTCAGGAAGGGCAGTTTATAAGATTGGATGTGGCTCATACAGTTGGACTTGAAATCATTTGAAGTGGATGGCTACTAGTGCTGGAATGTCACAGGGAGTCAGCACTGCAGCATAGTGGACAGTGAAAGGCAAAATGCAAGGGCGTGAACAAACACTTCGACTTGCTACTGGCTGGTTTTATGACACCCCCCCCCCACACACACACTAATGCTTTCTATCCTCCTTGCATACATAATGAGACAGCATGCTTCCCGTGACAATAAATTCCTTTTCCCTCAAGACAAAATTCCAAGGACCTGTAACTAGGAGACATTTGGGCAAATACTTGGGTTACTAGTAAGAGCATATGTGGAGGGAGAAATGGACATAAGAAGATGTGAAGCCTAATAAGGAACATGTTCCAGAACCTACCAGCTCCTATCTAATACTAAGTTTTTACCTTGTAAATAGAATGTATACTATCAATATTTAGCACTTATTTTCTAATTTAAAATGGCACTGACCTTTCTACCACTGCATTTTACAATATAAAACACAATGGTGAACAGTCTACAAAATGTTTTGAGGATCATTAAAACAGATGAGTTCTATCAATATGAGTCTCTGCATTCAGACAAAACACAGACAAATGTGTGGCCCAAACCCCGTTTGAAGTGTTTGCAATGTGCATTATGTAGAGGCACTTCACTTAAACTCAAGTTTGTTCTTATACATTATAGCTAACAATAAAACTTCTGTAAAGAAAATTCTAGCTCGATGGTGGTAGCACATGCCTTTACATACCAGCACTGGAGAGGCAGAGCAGACTGAGGTTGAGGCTAGCCTGATCTACAGAGCAAGTTTCAGGATGGCCATGGCTACACAGAGAAACCCTGTCTTGAAAAACAATAACCACAGCAAAAACAGAAAATTCTAAAAAGAAATAAGATCATTGAAAAGAGCGCAAAGTGGTATCTTTTTAAAAATTAGAAATAATTTGTTTTGTTCTTTCAAGTTAGCTAAGAATATTTTTTAAAACTTAAAAATGTGAGATTTTATTTAACTTTTATCTAAGAAACCAAGGTGTGATTATACAATGTATCAATTACTCTTACCCTGTTATATTCTTTATATCCCCATGATTCTCTTTCAAACCCCAATAAAGTAAAAATTATGAGGACTTCATGTCTAAGTTTTTATCTTCCCACATTTGGCGATATCTCCTTTGAGTTCCATTTGTCCAGAAGTCATACTCAGGCCTCCCAGGCCCCTGTGGTCAGCTCCTCCCCAGTGTCAGAACATGTCATATTCCAGAAAATCCCAGTGGGCCAGACCCTTTCTTTTGGAAAGTATGTCCACATCAGAAGAATGCATATAATACCAAATTAATATATAAAACAAACCACTTTTCCTTTTTATATAGCTTTCTTCACAACTAACACATTTCTACCTTTATCACAGGTACCGGAGATTTGAAAAAGCCTTTCTCTTAGCTGTTGACATTGGTGCTCGTGACCTGTTTATGGTAAGTCATTCCCAGGATGATTTTTGTGCCTTCAGTTCTAAGGCTGAGTAAGTTGTCAGCTTTTGTGACCATTAAAAGGGATTAGTGTCATTTGTAGCCTTAGACACATGGAGGGGAGGCATTATTCCACCATGGCTTGCAGCATTGCCTTCGCGACGCTGGTCAATAGCTATCTAGTATCTTTTGACTTGTTGACATTTTCCTTGCCAGAGCCAAAGGATCTTTTATGTTTTCAAAGCATTTATAATTCTTGAACTTTTCTCCCCATGAACCTTGATGTGCAGGATTGACACTTTTCCATCTATTAAGTTTAAATGTCTTTCTAATCCTTGCTTTGAGCACACTTGCAGCTGCAGAAGGCAAGACACAGGAGGAAATGTGTCCCAGAGATCTGAAAGTACTGTTGGACCCTCAGGTTTCAGCGAGAAGTAAGAAATTATGAATGCTTTACTTGTACTTTGGCATAGCTAGAGAAAAAAGTGAATCTACAGGTGTTGAGTCCACTGCACTCTTGCTCTGCTATTTGTCACTTGCCCAGTGGTGACATTGCCCAGCTTCTTACAGACCCTGTGCCCACTGTCAGGTTCCTGGCTGTTTGTTTTTGAGATTGTAACTTAATTACACTTCTATCTTCCTTTTCCTCCCTCCAAACCCTCCAATCTCCCCCAACCACTTATCCCCCCTCACCCTTGTTCCTGTGTTATGAGAACTTTCACCCCAGTGAGGTCAGATAAACAAAGTGGGAATTTTGTTGTTATCAAAGAAACAGTAAGACAAAGGTTTTTGCTGTTCTTTTGCACTGTGAAGATACTGTCCAAGTGTTGCTGTTTCCTATGTATGGAGTTCATCACCTTAGGTCATTTGTGTTTCCATTAACTTTGGTATTAAAATTCTAAATTACAGATGACAAAATTTAAATTTCTTATCCTCAAATCAATTGTACATCCATTAATCATAAAAAGTAGTAATTGCTTTCAAAAGGATAAACACTACACTTTCCATCTTTGTTTTGCTTCTACTTGAGAAGGCATGTCAGTATATTGACAAAGGTTTACTATTTTCATCACAGTCTGCTGCAGACAGCACAGTGTCAGAACTTTCATTTCTGATTTGACTGACCTTTTCTTCCTGCCTGTCTTCTCACCTCTGCTACGTATTATTCCAGTAGAGGTATATCGTTCTCCTCACTCCCATTCCTCTCCCATCTTCCCCCACTACTTCCTACTCCTTGTCTTCCTCCTCCTTCAACAGGGTCTTGGTATATAGCCCTGGCTATCCTGGAACTCCCTGTAGACTCTCTGAGTGTGGGATTAAAGGCATCGGCCACCAGGCCTGGCCCATATTTCTTGTTTTATGCTGAGAGTCCCATTTAGGGGTAGAGGGCAGGTAAGAACTATGATTAGAATTGTAAATTTTTTTGGCTGGGCAAAATTTCTGCAGGAATATTATATTCTGTAGTTAATTCCTTTATTAATTAGTAAATATAATCATCAAAGACACCTAAACTATTTTCATATTTGTTTCAGCATTTTAATCTGTTTAACCCAGTACCAATTTAGAGAAAGTCTTTGTGTTCCTTCAAATCTCCTTAATCCAAGAGATTTTCTACTGATGGATTAAAATAGAGGAGATGATGACTAGACGCTCAGTTTGGAAAAGTACAGACATTATTCGGAGTGCACATTTTCACTCCTCTATCTAAGACATCCCCTTTAGCCAAGGTCTATTTTAAGGGATCTCAAAATACAGAATGTTGAGGCCTTGGAGCTCTGTTTAAGTTTATGAAAGTAATGTGTACATTTGAGACTTTATGTTGAAATTATCTAAAAGAATTTATCATGTTTTCCTATAGATTGATTCTTACTGTTTAAATTTCATCTAGGAGAGGTTCATAGCCTATATTCTAAGAAATACTACCTCTTTTTAAAAAATGAAAGTTTATAAAATAAGCAGGATTATCTCTACTTGCAAAGGATTTATTATCTTTAAGCCATCCCTTCCTAAAAGATTAAAAATAATACCAAAGAGACCACAAAAAAAGAAGTATCTCTGGCTGGAGACATAGCTCAGTTGTCAAAGTGTTTGTCAAGGTCTTGGGTTTGATCCCCACAACTCATAAACCAGGTGTGATGGGGCACTCCTGTAATCCCACTTGTGAGGTGGAGGCAAGAGGACCAGAAGTCAAGGCCATCCTTGGTTACACAGCAATTTTGAGGCCCATCTGAGCTATGTGAGACTGTCTCAAAGCAACAACCAACAACAAAACCTTAATGAAACAGAAAACCCACCAACAAAAAGGATCAGTTAACCTGAAAACAATTCTTTTCACTTTAGCATCTGGTGGTGATAAACAGATCAAGGCATACAACATGACAAGAAAGGTAATGGGGCTCAAAAAGAGACAACTGAGACTAGAGGGCCCAAAGTGTGTAGCGTAAGTTCTAATAGGCCTTAATAATAAAAGCCCGGAGTCAAATGTAGAGGTAAATGCTGTAAGATCAGAGAGACAAAGGAATAAGCCACAGCCACACCTTACCTCCTCAACTTCACAGTGGAAAAGAGACTAAGCTCCTGTCTTCTCTTGCCTTTATTCCTCTCTCTACCTAGCCATATCACTTCCTGTCTCTGTACAGACCTCTAGACCTCTATGGTTAGCTTGTGGCGAGCTTGCGCTCTGATCTTCAGGTAAGCTTCATTTGTTAGAGCACAAACAAAATATCTTTAAAGCTGTAGGAACATGACAAAGGATTGGAATCAGAAGAGTGATACGATCATGATTTTGATCAGGAGTCTGCAAGCTTTTTCTGGAAAGGACTAGGTAGTAAATATTTCACTTTGTAAGACTGGAAGTTACTGTATAGCTAGTCAACACTGCCATCATAGAGTGAAGGCAGCTGCCACAGTGTACAAACAGTAAGTGTGGGTGTGTTCCAGTAAAGCTTCATTTACAACAATTTGAATATAATAAAAATTTCAAGTGTCGAACAACAAAAAAACAAACAAAACTGTGATTCCCCACCACCACCACCACCAGCCCAGTGCTTTAAACTAGAAAAAAAAATCTTTAGTAACATTTGGCTGCATTCCATAGTTATTCTCTACCTCATTTAGAGGGAGACCTGAGGCTGCGGTGTGGAGAATAAGAGGGGAAAAGCCAGCTTTCAGGGTAAAGGGTTAGGGTAGAAGAGTGCCCTCATACTGACTTTTAAAAACAATACTCAGGGCCTGTTGATTCAGTTCCAACCCCAGCTATTGGCTGTGTGGCTTTTGTATAGTTTATCTAACACTGTTTCCCTCCATTTTATTGTTTGTAAAATGGTAACAATGCATAAATTGCCAAAGTATGAAATAAGTTAACATATTTGAAGTACCTGGCATACTGTAATGACTTGGTAACCAGAGCTTCTAGAATGTTTTTCCTATCACTCACCTTTCAAATCTTTGTAGAGTATTTAATTGTAAGATGTGTGTGTGTGTGTGTGTGTGTGTGTGTGTGTGTGCACTCACACGTGTGTGCATGAATGCGTGCATGGGTGTGTGCGTGTGTGTGTGTGTAAAAGATTATTAATTCTGTGTTTCTGACAACTTGAAATTTGTATATTTTTAAAATGTCTCTACTTGGTAACTGAGAATCATTTAAGAAAGCCTTGTTTCATAGTCTGTTCTGCTAGCCACAATATCTTTGAAAATAGATTGATATGTGTACTTGAATTAATCTATAGTAATGTTAGCATTTGAAAACACTGCAAAAAAGTTTCAGTGAGTAATGTTGATGGTCTAGTATTCTTCATAACAAAGAGTGAATGTACTGATATATAAATAAATAACTAGAAAAGAGTAAAATACCAGAACTAAAAACCAGCACAAACCACAACAAGGCATTTCAAAATACCAAAATTACAAATAATCCATAACACAGAAAAATGTTCAAGGTCATTGGTCATGGAACAGTGGACTAGGACTCTTGAAGCAGTTCAGGGAACAAGCATCAGTAAGCTTTTCTCGAGATTCTTGTCAGAAAATGTTTGACTATACGTAGACAAATATTTTTATGGACTTTCTTTTGTTCCATAGTTCTTTCTTTGTGCCAGGATAATTGTGGCTTTCTTTGAGAAAGACTTATAGTTAGTTTTGGAATTGGGTTGCTTTATATATCTGAGATCCTTTGGGATTGCCTGTGAATTTTAGGATGCATTTTTCTGGTTTTGCACAGACATATCACTGAATCTTTGATAACATTAAATTGATCACTTTAGGTACAACTGACATCTTTTTGTAGGGTTTTGTTGTTCTTGTTGTTGTTTTGAAGTTTCCCTACATGTGTATGCTGCATGTTGAGGCTTTTTTCATCCCCTTTCCCACTTCTTTTTTCTTCATAATTTTATTTCTCCTTTTATATCATATACACATCTAAGACTTTATGTATCTCTATAAAATGTGGGAACCACAAATGAGAGAAAACATACTTTGTCTTTCTGAAATTTGCATGAATTTTGCATGACATATCTGTTTTCCTGTAAACAATATGATTTCATTCTGCATGGTCTTGAAGGTTGATGATGCTCTCTGATATGTTGTGGGTTTTTGTTGTTGTTGTTTTGTTTGATTGATTGGTTGATTGGTTGATTCATTTCCAGAATTTCTGTCTGGTTCTTTTTCAGTATCTGAATTTCTTTACAGCAGTTTTCCTTGATGTTTTAATTTTTTTTCTACCAAGTTTACTTATTCTTTCATCATCTTTGGTATTTTTCTTATCTAGATTTTCAATTAATTTCATAACTTTCTTCTTAAGGTTTCAAATTGGCTCCCTACTTGTTCGTTGCAGTCTTCTCTGTTGTTGTTGATCCTCTGTCAGGGTATAGAACTCTGACCTCTTTGTCTCGAATTTCAGCTGTCTAACCACTTGGTTCTCCATTACTGAGAAGTTGTCAGCTTAGGAAGGGTCTCAGAGGAATGCCATCTCGTGGTTTTCCGCTTATTTTGTTGGGTTTTGCATATCT